GCTGCACAAATCATATGGCAGCAGACCTGCAAAACTTTGTGAACCTGGATAGTTCATTGTTCCAAAGTAAAGATTGGAAATGGTGAGCTCATGGAGGTCAAAGGCATGGGGGATGTTGCTGTCCAACTGGTCAGGTACAAGTTAATCTCTCATGTGTTAATGTTCCTAAACTTAGCCAAAATTTATTGAGTGTGGGGCAGAGTTAGAGAAGGGTTATCATTACATTTTGAGAATCAAGCATGCACTGTACTTGATCTAAGAGTGAGTGAATGATGAGGGTTAAAATGCTAAGGAAAAGTTTTGGTTGAGTGGAAAACTAGACAAGAATCTGCCTTGCTAACTAGAAATGAGGAGTCAGAAATGTGGCACAAACGACTTGGACATACATTTAATGCTCTTAAAGAGTTGAGAAAGGGAACATGGTCCAGGACTTACGAAATTAAAGAAAAGAGTACCCTCTGTAGTGTTTGTCAAATTGGCAAATTAAGTAGACCTTCATTCCTTCGGATCAGTCTTGGAGAGCAACAACAAAACTTCAGCTAACCATTCAGATGTTTGTGGTCCTATGCAGACAGCATCATTGAGGGAAGCAGGTATTTTATACTTTCATAGTGATATACACGGAGGACATGGGTGTATTTTTTGAAGCTGAAAAGTGAGGTTCCTGCAGTGTTTAGAAAGTATAAACTGATGGTTGAAAATGAGGCTGAAGTAAGAATCAAAATGTTTAGAAGTGACAATGGAACTGAATTTACTTCAAAGAATTCAGTTCTATTGCCTTGAAGCAGGGATTAGGCATCAATTACTACAACCATACACCCACCAGCAAAATGGGTTAGTGAAAGAAGAAATAGGACCATCATGGAATGGCAAGGTTCATGTTGGCAAAAAACAACTTCCTAAGTGTTTTTGGGCTGAAGCTGTTAACACTGGAGTTCATCTTCTGAATAGGCTGCCAACAAAGTCAGTTAAGGGACAAACTCCAGTTGAAGCGTGGACTGATATAAACCTGCAGGGGGTATTTGAAAGTGTTTGGAAGTGTAAGTTATGTCATGGTTCGGAGTGAAAAGAACTAAACTTGATGATAAAGTGAAGTTGGTATTCTCATGGCTACAGCAGTAAATCAAAAGGTTACGAGTGTACATTCCTGAAACAAAGAATATTGTGATAACAAGGGATGTTAGGATTGATGAAAATGCAATGTGAATTGGGAGAGTAAACAGATTGAGGTTGACAGGTACCTGCAGCCGATCGAAAATGTGTTGATGAAGGTGAAATTGAAGTTGATCAGGAATCATCAGTTCGGGGAACTAGAACCTTGGCTGATGTTTATGCAAGGTGCAATGTGGCTGCCTTGGAGCCAAGAACATATACTGAAGCGCTGGATCAGATGCTTGGAAGAAGCTATGCAAGAAGAGATCTCTATGATTGAGAGAACAATACAGGAGACTAGTTGAAAGACCTGAAAACAGAAGAATAATTAGGTAAAGTGGATTTACAAACTAAAGTTAAATCCTGATGGCACAATCCACAAACACAAAGCAAGACTTGTGGCAAGGATTTGCGCAACAACAAAGGGTAGATTACACTGACACATTTGCTCCAGTAGCTAGACATGATACTATAAGGTGTGATTCTTGCCATGGCAGCCCAATTTGGTTGGAAAATTTTCCAACTTGATGTCAAATCTGCCTTCCTAAATGGCTGCCTGGAGGAGGAAATTTATGTGGATCAACCTGAAGGCTACCAGTGAAGGGTGAAGAAGGGAAAGTGTACCTGTTAGAGAAGGCTCTGTATGGCCTGAAAAGGCTCTGTATGGCCTGAAACAGGCACCTAGGGCCTGGTTAGCCGCATAAATGAGCATCTTAACAGTCTAGGTTATGTACGAAGTCCAAACGAACAACCTTTATGTTAAAGAAGCTGAAGGTGAACTAATGGTGGTGTCTTTGTACGTGGATGACCTTCTGGTGATAGGGAGAAATTCAGACCAGTTGAAGATGTCTAAACAATCCATGCAATCTGAATTTGAGATGACGATTTGGGGGAGATGACATATTTCTTGGATGCAAATTTTCAGTCCAAAAGTGGAATATTGTGCATCAAGAAAAGTATGCAAATGAAATTCTCACAAAGTTTGGAATGGAGAATTGTAAACCTACAGATACACCCTTGTTTCTAACCTGAAGAGTAAAAATGATGTGAAAAGGAGTGGATGAGAGTGTGTTTAGAGGCCTGGTAGGCTGTTTGTTGTACTGACAGCCACACGGCCAGACCTGATGTTTGCAGCAAGTTATCTCTCTAGATTCATGAGCTGTCCAAGTGAATACATCAGAGAGCAGCAAGAGGGTGTTAAGGTATGGGAAGGAACTTCAAATGGGAATTTGGTTTAGAACAGCAGGAAAATTATTTTTGCAGGGGTACACAGACAGTGACTGGGGAGGCTCCGTTGATGACATGAAAAGTACCTCTGGGTATGTGTTTACATCAATAAAGGAGCCATTGGTTGGTTGTCAAGAAAACAAGACTCAGTGGCTCAGTCCACTGCAGAGGCAGAATACATTTCTGCGCCAGAGCAGTGAATCAAGCTGCATGGTTTAGAAAAATTTTGGCTGATTGAAGCAAGATCAAGTGAGCCACCTTATATGGTGTGATAATCAATCGGCAGTGGCAATGGCAAAGAATCCAGTTCTCTATGGCAGGACCAAGCATATTAAGATTAAATTTCATGCAGGTAGGGAGGCTGAATGAGGGGGAAGTGACCTTGCTACCCTGCCGGGGTGTGGACCAGATTGAGACATTATGACTAAGAGTCTGCCTAAAGCAAGTTTGAGGAACTAAGACCAAACTTGGTGTTTCCAGCATGTGCATCAAGGGGGAGTGTTGATGTAGTGATGCTGTGCTGGAAATATTGCAAGTGGTCAAGTCTGCAAGCTTGGGAGTGGAAGATGCAGAAGGTTACATGCAGCAGTGGTTTAACGTGCATGGGAGTGCTTTTGTGTAATAACGTGTTTAGAGAATTAAGGGTATTTAAGTAAAGTGTATTAGAAGTAACATGTGTGGTGATTTTTGAATTTTGAAGTTGTAATGCTGCTGTAGTTGGTGTAATTAGCAGAGAGTTGTTAAGTGCTGTATATGTCCATGATCAATGATATGCAGTAAGCAGTTTTTTCGTCTTATGGTGCTCGTTTTCTCTTCATTTCTCTATATCATCTCTGGCTGAAACCAACAATTATCTGTTGGCTCAAGTGTACTAGTTAATGTGGGATCTCCAACAATTATTATAAATAAAGACAAAAAATGTTTCAAGATTTTGACAAGTCAAGGATGTAAAAACGCACCCAAGTTATGTGATAATATATCGTAAATCTCAAACATTGTAACAATGCATGCAAGCTCTGCAAGTTCAGACAGGACTAGCATAGGCAGCGTACATTGTCAAGAGGCTTCCTAGATAAAAAAGAACGGTCTTTCCCTCCATCATGTGAATGGGGTCGATTGCCCCCATGAAATTTAGATACAAGTGGGGAAGCGTTCAGTTGATATATCTGAGATATTTGGGGGCCTTTTAGCTGTCATAAGAAAAGAAAGAATTTGCAGGTTTTCAGCAAAACTCCACAAGATAAAATAAAAAGTTGATTGGAGAGCATTATTGCTAGAAAATTGCATGAGAGCAAGATTTTTCAATGACAAATTTGTGGAAATAAATGCATGGAGAAAAAGATTTTTTTGTGGATAAATACCAGCAAATAAATGAAACGACTTTTCAGTGGCTTACAAATTGGACTATTTATTGACTTGGCCAATACGTGAAGCAATTATATAATGTTAAATATTTTAATGGAATAAGGTAACGTTTGGCGCACTGACTTAGAAAAAGATAAATAGCTTTAAAACAAGAACTATAGCAAGGCGAGGACTGGCATCTGTAACTGTTAAAATGTAGGCATTTGTAAATCTAATAAGCACGTTTCTCCGTCCAAGAAGAGAAGGAGAGAGATGGGAAGCTTTGTTGAAGATGGAATCCATGATGCCAAGTCACTTGAGACTGAGAAGAAGCAACAAACTGATACATGTAGAAGGTAATTCTCTGTCACTCTTCCTCTAAACTGGTCAATTTTGCTGTTTTATCGACATGAAACAAATAGGCCTGAATTTCAAGCTCTGGAAGCTAAGTTTTGATACTATCTCTGGCATGATTGATGCATGCGCATATATATATATATAAGAAATGCTTTTGTGCGGACTTTGGCCTAGTTTTAGTTAACTGTTTGGAGGGTTGAAAGCTGCAAGATTGTTCCATAATGTGAATTTACATTTAAAAGTCATGACATTCAATTTGTTGATGCAGGAGATGAGAAAGATGAGAAATTTAATGATAACCCGATTGAGGAAGTGAGGCTTACAGTTCCGACCATGATGATCCTTGCTGCCAGCTTTAACCTTTCGAACATGGGTTCTGGGGATAATATCATGTTCCTTGCTTGCCTTTGTGAACCAATTCTTTCAATATCGCCAGAATCTGCTATATGTGGCCCAGTTTCAGCTCAAATCTTGTGCTTCCAGCAGGAAAGCTAATGGCTGCAACACTTCCATCAAAACCAGTTAAAGTTCCACTCACACCATGGTCGTTTTCATGAATCCAGGGCCTCAATATCAAAGAACATGTGTTGATCACCATTTTTGCGGCTGTGGATCCAGTGGTGTTTATGCAGTAGGCATAATTACAATGTCAAGGCTTTTTACGAAAGACCTATGAGTGCAGTAGCAGCTATGTTGCTAGTACAACAACACAGGTAGGTTGAATAATTTTGTTGGAATATTTCAGCCGCCATTGAAATTTCTCCAACAGCTGTCAAAAATAGTAATACGTATAATAAAATCTATTATGTTTCTTTTTTTTTTTTTTTTTTTTTTAAATGGAATCCAGCTGCTAGGATACGGGTGGGCTGGTTTATTCAGAAAATACCTTGTGACTCCCCTTACATGTGGTGGCCAAGACCATGGTTCAGGTCTCCCGTTCAGGTACTTATCTCTTCCCATATTGAACAAATCATATGCCAAATGATGAAGAGCGCGCGAGCTACTTTCTGAGATTGAGAAACTGATAAACTGCAAACTGCGGCATTACATGAAGTGGAAAAGGACTAAGGGAGGATTAAGTAGACTACAATTCTTCCTTCTGTTTTCATATCAAGTTCGTGTATATACAGTGCCAGGCTATCTTTTCCCTACACTGTCAGCTCTCTCCTTTGTCTGTTGATATGGAAGGATTCAATTACAGCACAAAGATTGGTTCAGGTTCAAGGCCTTGGCATTGGCTCCTTTGGCCTTGACTGTCCACTGTTGTACTGGGAGCCCCTAGCCTCACCCTTCTTTGCTATTGCAAATTACTTAGTTGGGTTTGTTTTGTTTCTCTATGTTCTTGTTCCCATTGCTTATTGGAATAATCTTTATGAAGCCCGTCGATTTCCCATAATGTCTCCATACACCTATGACTCTGCTGGCCAACTTTACAATATTACCCGTGTCCTCAATCAAAAAGAATTTGATCTTAATCACGTTGGCTATGAAAATTATAGCAAAGTCTACCTCAGTATCGTGTTTGCCTTCCTCTACGGATTGAGCTTTGCAACACTAATGGCTAGTTTATCACATGTTGCACTCTTTGAAGGAAAGTAAGCATCTTCAATAATATCTTTCTTTCTTTCATCATAAAGAATTTTCTGTTGTATGTCCTATTGACAATTTTACTTTCCTCGTTAAAACAATGAGCAGAAAAATTTGGGAAATGTGGAAACAAACAACTTCTGCAGTTAAAGATCAGTTTGGTGATGTGCACACAAGATTGATGAAGAACAACTACAAAGCAGTACCTCAATGGTGGTTCCAAATTGTATTAATAGTGACATTTGCTCTTTCAATCTTTGCTTGTGAAGGCTTCAATAGACAGCTTCAACTTCCATGGTGGGGAATTGTACTAGCTTGTGGCATGGCATTCTTTTTCACATTACCTGTTGGGGTGATTCAAGCCACAACTAACATGGTACTTCCTTTCCCAATTAAATATTGTTTCTGTATATTAAACAATAATAAAACCATAAGGGATGTTTCTTAATGGTATGTGTTAATCTGCAGCAACCAGGGCTAAACGTGATTACAGAGCTGATTATCGGGTATATGTATCCTGGTAAGCCCCTTGCCAATGTGGCTTTCAGGACTTACGGCTACATCAGCATGACACAAGCCCTCAGTTTTCTTAGCGATTTCAAACTAGGTCACTATATGAAAATCCCTCCCAGATCCATGTTCATTGTTCAGGTAATTCAACTATTCACAGAGCTTATGTTAATTGCTGTCTCTGTAAATAAATAATTTATTTTAATTTTATCAATATGTATCTTTAGTTAGTGGGAACTGTAATTGCCTCAACTGTCTGCTACGGCACAGCATGGTGGCTTCTCACATCTGTTGATCACATATGTAACAAACATTTACTACCAAAGGGAAGTCCATGGACCTGTCCAAACGATGTTGTCTTCTACAATGCTTCGATCATCTGGGGAGTTGTTGGACCACTCAGAATGTTCACGAGCCACGGTATCTACCCGCAGATGAACTGGTTCTTCTTGATTGGTGTAGTTGCCCCAGTTCCAGTATGGCTGCTCTCGCGCAAGTTCCCTGAAAAGAAATGGATCAAGTATATCCACATGCCCCTTATCTTGGCAGGACCAGGGGGCTTGCCATCAGCCAAAGCTGTGCATTATTGGAGTTGGGCAGCTGTTGGAATTTTCTTCAACTACTACATTTTCAAGAGGTACAAGGGATGGTGGGCTAGACATAACTATATTTTATCAGCTGCTCTGGATGCAGGACTTGCATTCATGGGTGTACTGCTTTATTTCGCCCTTCAATCTCATGATGTTGATGGTCCAGAATGGTGGGGTCTTGATAACAGTGACCATTGTCCATTGGCAATCTGCCCTACAGCACCAGGGATTGAAGTCGATGGATGCCCTGTGTTTTGAGGTGGGCAAGAAATTGCCCTCACCAAAGTTATAGCTGAGGCTGTGTATGGAGAAGACAAAAGCTGTAAAATTTCAGTAGCAAAAGCTATTTTATAGATTCACATACAACAAAAATGTTGTACATTAAGAAGCTATAACTTGTTGTTGATGTTTCAAAATGCTGCAAAAGAAAAAATTCCGATCACACACAACGATCTCACAATTAAAACAATGGAATCAAATTACCAGTAATCCCTACAAGAACAAGAACCATCTTTAAAACAATGGAATCGGTTCCGATCACGCACAACGATTTCACGATTAACAATTTCTGATATCAATTTAAATGCAGCATGACAGTCCTCGCAAACACGAAGATTCTTCATGATCCTAATTGGTGTTCCAGGAATTGTGTTTATCAATCCAAATGCCAGAGCCAATTTCTCACTGTGCTTGTACAAAAATTTCTCCTTCTCTTTCTCTTCCAAATCCAACAGAACAACTGATGTGTTAGGCACATATCCTTTTAGCTTCATGTCTCCTAGTAGTTTTTCCCACATTCTGAATATCTCCTCAGCTTGAGGATGTGTCTCATCCCCAGCCACAAACTCATGAATCACACCATCAACTGAGATTGAACTCCAGCCAGGCGTCTTCTTCACCCCTTGATTTCTCATCAACTTTCTAACTCTTGCAACATCTTCCCAACGCTCCGCTTCTGCATAAATGTTCGATAATACCACATAGTATCCATCATTAAGTGGGTCTAACTGACCGAGGTGTCTGGTAGCTTCCTCAGCTAGATCAATATTTTTGTGAACTCTGCATCCACCAAGAAGAGCTCCCCAGACGACCCCATTCGGTTCTATAGGCATGTTTATGATGAACTCATAAGCTTCTTGAAGGAGTCCTGCCCGGCTTAAAAGATCAACCATACAACCATAATGCTCAATCTGGGGAACAATCCCATAATCTTTAGTCATGCTGGCAAAAAATCTGCGCCCGTCCTCAACTAACCCCATGTGGCTACAAGCATGCAAGAGTCCAACAAAGGTTACCCCATTCGGCTTCATGCCTATTTTAATCATTTTATCAAAGATCCTCAGAGCTTCCTCACCCCGACCATGAATTGCAAGACCTTGAATCATAGCCGACCATGAAAAAATTGTTCGTTCTGCCATCTCATCAAACACTCGCTTAGCATCCTCCAAGCACCCACACTTCACATACATGTCAATCAACGTGTTACAAACTGTAACATTTCTCCTGAACCCACTTCGATTCGAGTACTCATGAACCCTTCTACCTAAATCTAAGGCACCCAAATCCGCACAAGCAGCAAGAACAGCCACTACAGTCACTTCATTTGCCCTAACACCCACGTCCTCCATTTCTACAAACAACTCTACCGCCTCCTTCGGCTTCCCACACTGAACATAACCCGAAATCATTGCTGTCCACGACCTAATACTTCTCTCAGGCATCCTTCTAAATAAACCACACGCCTCAGCAATTTCCCCCCTCTTTATCAACTGGGTTATCATTATATTCCACGTCACAACATCTCTCTGCGACATTTTATCGAACAACAACCTAGAATCACCCATTTCTCCACACAAAGCATACAAGTTCAAGATCACATTTTGCAAATACAAGCTCCATCCAAACCCTAGTTTCTCCACATACCCATGTACAATTCTCCCATTTTTAACATCCAACATAGCCGTACACGCTTTCAACACAAAAGAACAAGTGAAATTATCAGGCAAAACATCAAATTCACGCAACTGATAAAACAAAAATATTGCCTTAATGGGGTCATCACTTTCAGCAAAAACTTTCAAACAAGAATTCCACACAACAATCTCGGGTTCATTAACGTGTTTAAATATTTGTTGAGCATAACTGAAACTGGGAGTGAGAGCAGAGACCAAAGCAACACGGGTTAAGGGGAGGACAAAGAGAGGACTGCTGGTTTTGATGAGGTGGGCATGAGCTTGTTTGAGCTCAAATGGGGAGTTGAAGTCGTGGAGAAGATGAGTTTTGAGGTTGTGTGAAGTGGGTGATGAGTGTAAGTAAGAGTTCGTTAATGGGGCTGGGGAGTTGAGTGAAGAAAGAGAGGGAAGCATTTTAACGGTTCTTTGAAAAGAAGGGGCTGGAGGTGTTTGCGAGGGTTTAGGAGAAATAAGATTGCACAATGTCAAACTCTATTCATGGTGCTTAAGGGTAACGATACCACTATCATGTATCATTGGACTAGCTACGCGTACACGTAATACATGAACATAAGTGTATAAAATACGTGAAACATTGTATCATATCATATGTACGTTTATCTAATTAAATTGTGGTAGAAAGCCAATAGATGAATATATGGATAACGTATTACATTCTTTCACATATCCTTTTGTCAAACACCTAATGACCCAAAAGTGAAATCTTGAAATTGGACAACCAAAGAGAATATATATATATATCTAGAAACAGAAGGGGTTTCCATCCCACTTGTGAAAAAATAAACATCTGGGAACTTCAGTAATTTTTAACACAGAATGGATGATAGTTTAAGAGAATATTTTCACTACAAAATCTTCTTCTCAGAAAAATAATAAAACTCCACAACTCCATGATCCCACAAATTTTTTGTTATGTTCGTCGTTTCTCGAGCATAAGTAAATGCATCATGGGTTGACATCAACCATTAACAGTCTGGAAATAATGGCAAAAATACTGACATCCATAGCCATTCTTTACTTGAAGAGTTCCGGGTTCAGCCAGTCCCTGCAATAGTAAAAACAAGGCCAGGTTATATTTTCCGTCTAAGAAATTTGATACTGATGGCATAGCCATCGAGATCAATTTAAAAAAATAAGTAGACATTTAGTACGAATGCTTACTTGCTAAGGTCATCAAGGTGATCATCGAAATCAACAATACCCTGCCATTTCTCAGTGGTAATATAATCTAATAGAAGTGTATTTGCTGCTGGCTCCTTAGTTACCAATCGGCTGCCACTATCTGATCCAACGAGCTTCCAGTTCTTGGATGCATCCCTTATATAAAGCTAGTCCATGAAATATAATAAATTTAGGTGAAGCAAAATAGAAAGAATATTGAGGAGGAAAAATGACTTAGAACTCTAACAGAAGTTTGGATCCAGCATAACAGCAAATGTAGCACGCAACAAACAGAACAATAACAGACATGATGACTCTACAAATCATCTTAAGGATATTATCATACATTCTAATTGTGATAGTAACATAAAGAAACACAAACTTTTGGAAAGTCTAAAATCAAGTAGAACCATTGATAAAGCAATGTGCAAGAATGACTAACCCTTAGCTTTCTTAACATTAAATTAATTAACAACCAGCTATTCTTTTCATTTTGAAAGGTATGTAATTAGAGGGTAGAGTTCTTGAAAAGCAGTAGAACTAGTGCATCTTTTACAATTAGAGACATAAGAGTGAAGTACACTTAAGCACTATACAAGAAGCATGCTGAAATTGCATTAAATGCCATGCTATGGGAAATTTTGAAGAAACATAAAATTTCAGTTGGAAACCTATTGATTACAGGATTCAAAATTTTGGAAACTAGAATCACATGACAATCAGATAAAAAAAAAATCTACAAAATCGAAGGAAACCATGTAACAGCACAAACCAATCTCCAAAACAAACAATCATGCAATACAGGGACAACGGTGTGTCAACCAAAAATAATATAACATTTTGATAAATGTTGCAAGTCTATATTTCTCCTCAACAGGTTCAATGTAATTCAATCAATCTGAGCCCAGATCCAGGAATTCAAGTTTGCAGAAAAAGAAACACCAAAACTTTAAAGCTACTACAAAAGCATTTGAATGGTATAACCAAATAAAATGTTCAACACATTAATAGCTTAATTCAGATCATTTTGGCAAATCAGATACACAAAATGATCAGAACCACAAGAGACACTTAAATATCAGCAACTCAATCACTGAAACCTTGTCATAACCTAAAATCAATTAACACCATTATACCATATGTCAGCACAAATAGCAATAATACTAACCTGCATTACAGGTCTTTGGTCAATCTTCTTGGGCAATACTTCAAGCTTTTTGCTATCCAACTGTAGCAGTATAATATAAGAGGTTAAAAACCACCAAGAATGTCGAGCAATAAACAGAAGCCACAGTAACATCAAAATGCACAATGCTTACCAAAAGTACAGCAGCTTGGGGAAAGTAACGACAGATGTGATCACCAATATTCTTAGCCACACCATTAAGCTCCGCATCATCATATCTTTCATTAGCATGAAAATACCCAACAATGAAGAGACCTTGAGCACTATAATGCTCTTCTATCTGATCAAACCAAAACAACCTACATGTCTCAGACTCCACTAATTTTGAATTTCAATGCAAAACAAATCCATAAAAATCTGCCAAACAAAAGCACCAAACACCACTACCAACAATCCAAAAACATAACAGTTTCCATGAAACCACACTCACAGAGGAAAAAAAAAACACCTAGAAAACTCTCTCAAAAACATAACTCTCCGAGGAATCAAACCTAACCCAGATCACAAAACAAAACAAAAATATTCTCCGAAACACGAATTAACATTTCAAGAAAACAAATAGGCTCCAAATCATAAAACCTAGAAACAAAACTTCTCAGCTAAATCTCAAAAACACAAGCCAGATCATAAATCTTCATATACTTAATTCACGTGAATTAAAAAAAAAAAAAAAAAAACTGTCAAACCACATATAATTAAGAAAAGGGCATGTACGTAAACATACCAAGATAAGGGAGATCTCGAGATTGGGGAGGAGACCAAGGTGGGAGTGAAAGAGAGGGACGGAGTCAGTGACCTCCACAACGTCGTCGTTTCGAGGAGAGACTCGTCCAATTAAAACACCGTTGACCGCAGCTGCCTTGTGCTTCTGTGCGTGTAACACGAGCTTAATGTAAGCGTCTTGAGAAATTTCATATCTCAACTCGCCCATCTCTCACTCACTGAGGTAAGTGTGAATACTGTGAGTGTTGCTGTAGAAATTCAACAAATAAATAAATACATAAAAATTGAATCACGAGATACATTAATAAATAAACAGACAAAGAGAGAGACGGAGATGGTTTACCAGAATGAATCAACGATGGGCGTCAACTTCAACCTGAAAACGAAGCACGAAAACAACAAAAACCAATATAAAAGGAGCTGGTTAGAAGACGGTGGCTGATGTTGGATTGTTTGAGTATTGGGCTATTCGGATACTTTTCAGCCCGGCCCAGACCGGCCCATAATATAAAATCGAATACCTTTAGGGTGCGTTTGGTTTAGTATTTTGGATAGGATTTTAGGGATAGTATTGGGTTATTGGATATGGGAGTATTACGAGGTAAATTTTAAAAATTTATAAAAAAGCCCTTAGGTTTACTAATTTAACTAAAGACCCTAACATGTAAAATGACAAAAACACCCCCACCATCTGCAGTGTCAGATTCCGGCCACCACCGCCGGAATCTGGCCGGAAAATTTCGTTACGGCACAGACTTGTCGGATCTGTGCCGTAACACGTCGTTATGGCCTTTTCCGGCTAGATCCATGGTGGATCTGGCCGGAAAAGGCCAGATCTACGGTTTGTTTTGGCCGTCGACGGCCGGAAAAGGCCAAACGACGGCCATCTTTGGCCGTCAGCGACGGCCAAAGATGTGGCCGTCGTTTTCGGTCAACGACGGCCAAGATTTGGCCGTCGTTGACCGTCAACGACAGCCATTTCTTTGGCCGTCGCTGACGGCCAGATCTGGCCTTTTCCGGCCAGATCCGTGGTGGATCTGGCCGGAAAAGGCCACAGCGGTGAACTTCCGGCCATTTCTGGTCGGAAGTTTGGCCGTTGTACAGATTCCGGCTATCACCGACGGTGGTTGCCGGAATCTGACAAGTTGGGTTGATGGGGGTGTTTTTGTTAATTTTTAAACTTTTTTTTCAGGGGGTATTTAGTGAAATTAATAACCTTATGGGGTTAAAATGTAATTAAAAAAAATAGGGTAATATTTTGAGAATATTGTACCAAACGCTATTTGAAAAATAGGATCCAGAATAGGGATAAAAATATTAAACCAAACGCATACATAATTGCCCACATATCAAAGGGCCATATTAAAACTTAAAAGAGCTAAAACTATACATTGTTTTGAATGTGATTTTGTTACCTTGAATGTTTTAGTTATCATCAATGATTTTTCGAAACAACAATATTATTATATTTCTTTTATTTTATAGAGACTTGATCATGGTTGAAGCTTTACGAAGAAAACTGCAATTACTCAAAAGCCCTTCTCGAACTCTACAATCTTAAAGAAGTGAGAAACACAACTTTTGAGTTTTGATCATATAAATGCCTACCTAATACGGGATCGTTCAACTATGACTCTCCCACTCTAAAAACCATATTGTTACAATGTTTCTATACACAAACCGGATTGTTCCTGTCAATTCAACTCCGAGTTAATTCAATTTAATAGCTACAACAAATTTTAGTCATTCAATAGACAAGATTAAGGATTTGTTCTCGATAGGTCCAGGTTTTAAAACCATGTGAACCCCTTTTGTGGTTTAAGAGTTTCATGAGTGTATTTGTTTTAGTATTTTAAGTAATATTTTTAAAATATTATTGATAGATAAAGTTTATTATGAGATAGAATTTAAAAATAAACAAAAAAAAACCCCCTAAGTTTGCTAATTTAACCAAACACCCCAATATATAAAAATTTTACAAAATGACAAAAACACCTCCACCCACCCACACTTGCTTTATTCCAACCACCACTGCCAAAATCTAACGTTACGATACACAACTAGTTCCAACCAGACCCACCATGGATTTGATCAAAAAAGACCAAATCGACGATCAAATCTAACATTTTCCAACCAAATCTATTGACCAATTCCGACCGATAGTGCACCGTTGTGATAGATTTCAACCACCACCAACGATAGTTGCTGAAATCTGACAATTATGGGTGGATGGAAATGTTTTTGTCAATTTATAAATTTGTTTGTTGGAGGTGTTTTCGTCAATTAACAAACCTAAAGGGTTTAAATAATTCCTTAATTTAAGATATAATTTTGAAAATAGATAGACATTCGCATATTTGTATCCGGAATAGGTACAGGATAATGGTGAACTAATAAAACAAATGCAGCAATCACAATCTAAGATGTTGGATCATTATCTCCAATGTGTGTGATTAAGCTTAATACTTCAATGTCAACTGTTCTATAATGCATTATAGGTATTTCATCATGCCCCTTTCTGGTTTGAATGTGGCTATGTTGGGAATAAGTTTCAGCAAGTTGTGCTTCAAGACTCTAAACAAGTTATCATAATGTCCAGAAACATCTCAATAAGAGTCATAATCATAAATTCACCATAAATACTTGCATCTTTTATCGCAATGAAACAGTTAACTCACTGTGGAATTACAAGGATCAATTGTCAAATGATCATAAATAACATTAATCTATCTGATTCTTGGTGCCACAAACTCAATGTTCGAATGCATTTTTAGCTGTAAATACGGATACCATCATCATTGAATGAAGTATACTATTTTGTGCAGGGAACACATGAAACAATGGGACAATCTCCAAAGCAAAAAATGTGGAAGAATCGAAAATGTACCCAAGAATTGCACAAACTTTATTATTATTATTATTATTATTTCTCATTGCAACAGAAACTATATGAGATATGATATCCATTACAATGTGAATGAAACCTAAGTCAGAAATCTACAGGCTACAAATAGGAAGCAACCACCGCCTGTGTTTCCTCGCCACAGCATATAATCAAGAAATCACAGATTGTGTTAAGGAATGCATGAAAAAAGATTAAAATCCCAGTCACTTCATGAACCCTTTGTAAGCCAAAAAGATTGGTGTCAAATCCATAAATAAAAATGACAGTAATGTTAGAAATGCAAAACGAATCCGCGCAAATCTTACGCCATTTAGACCAAATTGAAACCCAGTCAATCATCAAACTTGGTAAAGGAAACCCAACATAAAAGACGTTAGAATAGCAAAGCAAATGCATGTAAAGGGAAAGGGAATAAGGCAACCACATTCACTTTACACCCCGATGAAAAACTTTCAAAAACATGAAAAGAAATTTGAAGTGAAATGCTCACGAGCAACCCAAACAAAAAATGAACTCTGCTTTACAAAATAGTAACCTTAGAAGAATTCACTGAACTTAACCCAAGATCTACCAGAATCGGGGCTGCTGGATGAGAGTTAAGTTCACCACTAAGGTAACCTTAAACAAAGTCATATTGGTTTATGAGAATGTTATTAAATCTATGTAGAATAAGCAAGCAATCGAAAATGAAAAGGCCTGCCCTCCCACAAAGAAAACAAAGCAAATCTCTTGTATGAACAATGCATTTGTAAAATGTAATGCCTACTGCCAAAATCATAAATTCCCACCAAAGTCTATCTCTAGACAACAATAGAAAAAACGACTATCTGTATCAAACTAATGGGACCAGTTGCTAACAGAAAACATATAAGCTAATAGAAATTAAGTGTACAGAAGGGTCTATCTAGATCAAACTTAAAAAATAACAAATTCCAAAAAGAAAAAAAAAAAAAGAAAAAAAAATTTCTATAGTCTACACAACAAGAGCTATATCGAAAGGTCAAACTAGAAAACCATAGAATAGAACACCAAGCACTAGTTTGAAGCAATCTAAAGTTTTGTCTATGACATACAATAGAATAAGAATCTAATGATAACAGGTCTTCTGATCTTGAAAAGCTTCCCCACCTGCTGCTATTATAGGAGACTTCTAGTACTTGAGTGGGAGTGCCTAACAATGCACGATTAAAGCCTACAGGAACCTGAGTGATACTTCTAAGATCTGGCATAAGGATGGTAACGACTACTGCCACTATAGCCTCCCCTTCCATATAGCCCACCAGCTCCACCATAACTGGCACCTGGACCAGAATCATAGCCACCACTGTAGCCTGAACCTCCATAACTACCATAGCCTTCGCCTCCTCTACCATACCCACCTAGACCACTTCCACCATAACCACTGCCAAATCCGCCACCATAGGGTCCAAAGCGACCAGAATAACCAAGGGAAGATTCACCTCTGTACCCTCCTAAGCTATTACCACCAAAACCCCCATAACCTCCACCAAAGTCTCCACTAGCACTACCATACCCATATCCACCACCAAGCCTACCACCAAGACTTGCAGGTGTCCTATAAGGGCCAGGACCAAAGCCTCCATCAAAACCCCCATAAGAACTGCCAAATCCACCATAGCCATCATTGAAAGAACGGCCCCTAGAGTTGCTACCATATGAAGGAGGAGGTGGGGGGTTTGAGGCTTTCTTTGGTTCAGCTTTCTTGATCTCCACCTACAACAAAGCAATTTAGTTAACCTAGGTTCTGCTGCAAGGAAACTAAAATGATAGCCCTTTCCTGGTCTGTCTATACCTGTAACAATCTCCATCTACAGTCATTAGGAAAAAAACTGACTAAAATGCTATCTACTTATGTACATATAACTAACTTGAATAACTAACTCATGGCTCATGTATCAGTTTGGCAAAAAGAGAATGTAATAAAGCATGCATGATAACCAACAATAATCTGTTTACAAGCTGACTTCTTGCAGACCATACTAATAAGCTCACCTGGGTACCAGCCATATCAATCATATTTCCCTTTGATAACATTTCATCCACAACTTCTTCACTGTCAAAAATTACAAATCCAAAACCTCGCGAGCGATTAGTTTCATGGTCACGTATTATCTGGTGTTCTAGAACTTTCCCATACTTGGAGAAGAAATTCTTGAGTTCATCTGAATAATAAATGCACAAGTTAAAAAGGGTGAAAAATTTTACAAGCTTCACGGCAAAAAGTGTAAGCATTTAGCTACATCCTACAAATCAAAGATAAAACACCATCACCTAAATGCATACCTTCAGTGACCGAAGAGGGTATACCACCAACAAATATCTTCTTTGTCTTAAAATCCTTTGATTGACCTGAGCCTTTAGGAATGGTTCTTTTGATCTCAACCTAATCAAAGTTACCGGCCAACTAGTTACTCTAAAATGACAATTTTATTAAGGAAAGCCATGCAATCACTGAAACATGGAGCTCAAGTCCCTTAAAACTGCAGCTCAAATTATGACAAAACTAAACCACCTTACTCACAAAACCAATCAATAAAAGCTAAGCACATGTGTCATCTATTTTTTTTAAATCACACAAAACCCAAAAGATCAACTATTTACCCAAAGTAAACCTAATAACAGCTACACATCCCACTAAATAAACTTACTCCAAGCCACACACTCAGAAATATGGTATCTTGAACCCATTAAACACACAATATCTGTTTCCATTAAAATAGCAATTAAATCACCAAAAAAAAAAAAAAAAAAAAACAACAACAATATTAGACCCCAGTTACCTGTTTTCCATTAATTATATGAGTATCATCAATAACCTTATCCACAACCGAAGGATCAGCATAAGTTATAAAGCCGAAACCCCTTGGTTGCCCCGTGTACCGATCTTTCATGATAACCGAATCCGTAATATCCCCATACTTCCCAAAGTGCTTGTTAAACGTAGCTACAACTCATCAAACAAAACAAATTCAAAACCCTAATCAACAATAAAACTCCTAGTAAATTAAATCCCACATCAAAGATCAATCAACCTAATTAAAACTCACCGTATGTCGTGTCTTTAGCCAATCCACCGATGAAAATCTTCCTGCAAATTCCCAAAACGCCATCGTTTAGTTTCCGTACAAATTATCGAGAAAATACACGTGAATTAACCAAATCGAGTTCTTTTGTACCAAAAAGACACGTGATTTAAACCAAACAAAAAAAACACAACACAATCGAGAGAGACGAACCCAGGGCTGGCACCGTCGCCGGAGTGAGGATTATCGAGCTTGGATTTAGATCCCATGGCGTGTAATCCGGTGTTTGGCTAGTCGGAATTTAGAATTTTCTCGAGAAAGAGAGAGAAATTCGATTCGAGGGATAAATTAGAGTTGAAAGAGTTAGGGTTTTGAAGGGAACGTGGGTGGAGGATAACATATAAAACGATGGTGAGAAGATTCGTATGACGATTTTGCCCCCCTGGAAAATTTTTTTTCCACCGACTCCCACTATGCTCCGGTTCCAAGTGTTTTGGGCCTTCTAGGAAAAGCCCAACAACCAATACTGTATTGGCCCGTTAATATAATCGGGTTAGTATAGCTCTTCGAGTCGGGCTGAACTTGAGAGTTAAGGGACTGTTCGTTTATCAATTCGTTTTGTAATTGTGGGAGAACGTTGAAAATACAAAAAAAATTAAATCAAATTATGTGATTTTTGAGTAACTCGATTTCTTTGTGTGTCCAATTTCAAGTGTTTTGGGCCTTCTAGGAAAAGCCCAACAACCAATACCGTATAGGCCCGTTAATATCACCGGGTTAGTATAGCTCTTTTAGTCCGACTGAACTCAAGAGTGAAGGGATTGTTGTTTATGAATTCGTTTGGTAATTGTGGGAAAACGTTGAAAATACGAAAAAAAAAAAATGAAGTCAAATTATGTATTTTCCGAGTACCCCGATTTCTTTGTGTGTCCAATTTCAAGTGTTTTGAACCTTCTCGAAAAAGGTTAACAATTAAGTATATCTCTTGAGTCCAGTATTGTAGCGGGTTGAACTCGAATTATTTTACATTTTCGGGAGAATGTGAAAATTATGGAAAAAAAAAAAACTCTGATTATATATTTTCAAACCCTTCAAAAGAAAAAGGAATAAATGTTTGTTACTAAGCATTTTATTTTCATATAATTTATTAGGTGCTTTTACAAAAGCGCTTTTTACTATCTTGGAAGTGCTTTTGATGATAATATAAGCTACTTAATTTAACCTTTATGTATATTTTTGTGATATTAATTTATCTTTTTTAAGCTTTTTTATTATTTTATTTTAATATTTCTCTTTCCACTTTAAAAAAGAAAAGCCTTTTTCTCTCTTTTTTTTTTTCCAATTAATTTCCTTTTTAATTTTTTTTTAAATCCAACTATAAAACAAGAAAAATCTTCAATTTTTTTATTGGTAATATGTTCATTTTGGAAAAAACAAATTATATACACTTGTGAATTAAATCAAGTGAATTTAAAAAATATATTTTTTTAACTAATTATAGCATTTCCATGCACAGATATGACAGAAAAAATTCATGCTAGTAAATGGTTTATAGATGAATTAAAATATGAATAAAAAATCAATAAAAGGGTCATTAACAAAATAGTAAAATACTTGGACCATAATGAACTTTTACAAAAGTTAAATGAGAAATTAAGTTGCAATTAATCCTTAATGGGGGGAAACAATGTCCAATTCATTAAGATAAACCTTAATTAATATATGAGAAGGGCTAGTCTTACAAAGACAAATACAAATAGGGTATACAAAGACAACTCCTACCCTTAATCTTCATGATTTCTCTCTCTCTCTCTTTCTTTTTTTCTGTTTTTCTTTGTTTTTTTCTTCACTTTGTAACCTTCTTTGTATGAGTCTTTGTAAGGATAACATTTTTCTTAATATATTAATAAAACACATATTTTGAAAAAATTTAAATTTTTGCAATTCTAGTGTTTTCATCCGAGCTTAATTGAATATATTGTTTATTTTGCGTTTGGTCTGCAGAAATTTATTTTGAAGCTTCACGACTATTTTTCATCTGAAAGACGTGTATGGAATACAAACACTCAAGTTCTTTAGATAATTGAATAATTGATGCTAGAGTTTTTGGCCAATTTTCTTAATGACATAAGGGTAATCTGACATATTGATAGAATGTAAACTTCGGAATCCTCTTCTTATGATAGGATTGAACTGTTCATATCCCATAATATTGGGGCAAAGTGAATAAATCCCAAATTTAGGGGATTAAAGGAACTAAAGAAAACCAAAAATTTCCCTTCTTTCTATGCAAACCCAAAACAAACACACAACCGCTCTCTTTCCTCCACATAATTGCCCCAAAAACCAACTCCAATCAACATTGAATAATGCAATGCTTACAACTGAGTCAAACAACGGAATTATACAATCAGATAAAAAATAAATGATAAAGTGGTAATTTTTCATGAATTTTGTGCAATTTTTGTTTAGTTGTATGACTCAGTTATAAACTCAACATTATGTCCCTCTTTTATCCCCATATGATTGGCCCAAAATAATATCTTTGCCTATTATACAACATTGTATAATTGTATTTTGCAAGTCTTAGAGTTAGTTTTGGATTGTTTTAGCTCTAAATTTAATTAGCTTTTACTCGGTTTTAGAAATAATCAAATTTAAGAATAATTTGAAATGTGTTCGGTAAATGTTATTTTCATCGTTATTGTGATTTTTAAAATCTATGATTGTGTGTTTGGTCAGTTAGATTTTGAAATTGTTGTTGTATGCATAATGACTAGAAGACATTTTATTTTTTAAAATATTTTTATAATTTAAAATTATTATTTTGGGTAAATATCAATATAATATATAAATTATTACAACTAATAATTAAAAAAATATAAAAGAGCTATTGATTAGTCGACGCCGATCAACGATAATCAACCGTCCGTCAAAGGTAGCACGTTTGCATCGCCTCTGATATCAGAACAGAACAATTCAATCTGTTTGAAGATGGTGAAATCACTAGATTTCAACATCTATTTTGGCCGTAGAAGGCGAAAGTATATTCGATCACCTTTTGTGGCCAAAGAGACGTTGGAATCTAGTGATTTCATCATATTCTGAATGATCGAAAGATTTCGATCTTGATAGGATTGGATATGGCATCAACATGCCCATGTTAACCTACAATTGACTCTTGTTGATGGTGTTATCGTGTTAGCAATCACTCCGATTTCAATTTTTTAAATTTATAAATAAATTATTGAAATTATTTATTTAATAAATAGAATGTTTATTTAAGTTAACTTTTTAATTTAAGAAATTATTAATGGGTATATTTTCCATTTACACATACAAAATCAACTTTGAAAATAATTAGATTTTTTTAAAAAGTTATCTAGGGGTAGCTTTTAAATCCTTTTTATAAAGATGGTTATTTTATAGTCAGCTTTAAATTTTGTTAAATTTCAAAAGTTGTTTATCAAACACTTTTATCGTTGTAGCTTAAAGCTTAACCGACTATTTCTTAAGCTACAACGACTCCAAACACACACTTATAAAATTTCAGCTTGATACGAGATAGATTAACACTAACTATTGTTATATACAATGATCACGAGAAAATAGATGAATATCGGAAAGCTTACTCCAAAGTTCCTTATCATATATCATCAAAAGTAGAGGCATAAGCATAAGCAAAGGTGATCTTGCATTATAGAGAATCCTCCTTGAATTTTGGTAAATATATATATATATACACCGTCGTTGGTCTCGACCTTATATAATTTGATCTACACACAAATTTATTTTACTTTCAAAATAATATAAGAGAATTCATATGTAGCTAGTAACATAATAACGTTATCGGTATAATATTTTGATAAATATAATTTCCTTTTTGTTTAAAATCATATTGGGTTTTCATAGTGAAAAACGATTTTTCGAGACTTCGTAATTATATAACTTTGTGCTCAAAGTTTCAAATTGAATGAATTTATCTAACTTGCTTAACTTTTTGAGCAATAATTTGTGATTATTATGATTTTAAAAAAGAATCAAATTAAGATTTTATAGTGAAAAAAAGATTTTTTTTGATACTTCCTTAGTCTATAACGTTGTGCTCGAAGTTTCAAACTGAACGATTTTTTCTAAATCGCTTAAGTTTTCAAGCCGAATTATAAGTAAATTGTACAAAAATGGTGATATTCTTTCTCAATTGATAAAAAAATTCAATTTTTGGAAAGTATTATGATCAAATTTCTTTTTCTAATTTTTACTATAAAATAATATAAATGAAATAATACGTTGGTCTCATTTAAATTTTTTCAAAAATATAATAATAGCATTAAATATATTAAAATCCAACTCTAAATTCTTCTCCTTTGACCCCCCCAAAACACTGTCACAAACAATTTCCTCTTTGTTTACTCAAACTTTCTATATAGCCAAACACCCCTTAATCCATTGGTCTAAAGTCTAAACCTTTCACAAAACAGGCAATCTATTTTTATTGGTGTAATCCTTAACGTTTAAGTTTCTGTAAGCAACTCAAACAGAAGCACTTTCACAAAACGTTTTCTTTTTCTTTTATTTGTTTTTGTAGTGTTCCTCCTCCTCTTTTGCTTCCCTAAGAAGGGCACCATGAGCAACAGGAGCAGCAGCCGGAGCAAGGGCGGCGATGAGGGGGCGTTTAGGGTTACGATCCCGGCCGACATACGGCCCACCATACAGACCATACGGGAGACCACAGGGAGGCAGCACAGCGATGAGGAGATCTACTCTGTTCTTGAGGATTGCTCAATGGATCCTAATGAGACCGCTCAAAAGCTTCTTTATTTAGGTATTTATGTGGAGCAATTTGTGTTTTTGCATTAGGGTTTTATATCAATGTAGCTCCTTGATGAGGCTTTTAATAGGAAAGTTTGGTGTTTTGCATCTGGGCTTTGTGCAAAAGCTTGTTTAGAAGGATAAGAGGGAGTTTTACATTGGCTTTTTATGGTTTTTTGTAACTGGGAATTGAGCAAAAGCTTCAGTATTTTGCTGTATATATGTGTTAACAATCATGAGTTTGTGTGTGCGTTAGGCTTTTACAGGAATATGAGTGAGTTTTACATTGGTTTTTGTGTGTTGGAGCTGTAGATTGGTGGCCTTTTTTTTTCATCTGGGCGTTGAGCGAAATCTTCGATATTTATCTGTGTATGTGGGTTTACAAACATGGGTTGAGTATGCATTAGGGTTTTACAAGAGCATTAGTTAGTTTTACGTTGGAGTTTTATGCCGGTGTTATACGTTATGGTGTTGTAAATTGGGGTGTTTTTGCAACCTCATGTTGTGCAGAAGCTTCAATATTGAGCTTGGTGTTGCAAATTGGGTTTTTTTGGGGCAACTGGATGTTGCGCAGTAGCTTCAATATTCAGCTGTGTATATTTGTTTACAAATATGGGTTTGCGTATGCATCAGGGTTTTGGATGAATATGAGTGAGTTTGACACTGGCCTTTTATGTGTTGATGTAAATTGGTTTTCTTCACTACTGGATCGGGTGCAAAAGGTTCAATATTTATCTGTGTATATGTAAGGGTTTTGCACAGATATGAGTATCAGTGGTGTTTTATGTTCTGATGCTGTAAATTGGGGTTTTTGCAACTGGGTATTATGCACTTTTTCTTCTCTCAATGCCGATACAATTCGATATGAAAATTCTCATGTTTCTTATGCAGAATGTCTGCTGGGTTGGTCTATTTCTTTTTATTGATGAAGACGCTCACCCTTTTTTTTGCTTCTCAGATACATTTCATGAGGTGAAAAAGAAACGTGATCGGAAAAAGGAGGTAGATATTTTTTGCCCGCTGTGTGTGTCTGGCTTCCCTTTGAATTTTATACTCTCTGCTTTATGGTCGTGAACCTATTATTGAGTTCACTAAGTAATGTCGTTATCCTCATCAAATTGGCTATTTTGGTACTTGTATATAGCAGGGACAAGGGGCTAGGGGTGGTCGAGGGAACTATTATTCTAATTATAGCCCTCCTGGTAAGTTTAAACTTTATGAATCGAAGCTTTTTAATTGTCGTGGTTATGTTTTATATAATTTATTTTGATACCCCTTGTTGGACTCTTGAGTTTAAAACTAAAATAATTGTATGTGCTTTGTACCCACCCTTTCAAGGGTGAAAACACCTATTCTAGGTTTCATTCATAATCTGATTTTAGGGGCATTATATTTCGTGTGTGGGCGAGATTTAGATGTAACTTGTTTGCGTCTACGACGATCCTAGCCGCGTCCCCCCCTTAACTATTTGTGGAGAATTTCAGTTTTCTTGAATGTATAAAAAGATGTCTTGTGTAATTGTTGTCTATAAATTTATGCCTTGCAAATTGCTCTTTCAGCTGCTGGCGGTGGGAAGAATGTGGCTCCACGAAGGGAAAATGGACTCACAGAGAGAGGTTCAGTTTTACGGAAAACGAAAAATAATGTAGTACCTCATGTGACAAAGTAATTATGTAACCAAACTTCATTATTCTGTGGTCTTTATCATTTAAAAGAATTTTTTTCTACAATTTCTCCTGAGTAAAAAAGTGTATTGCTTTTAAATTTTTTACTTAGTTTGAAATGGTTTACAGAGCTTCAACTGCTGTATCCAATGGCGCTTCAAGTCTATCCAATGGAAGCTTTAGTCATGGACATGTCAATGAATTGTCTGTGGATGGTGTGATTCCTGAAAGTAAAGATAATACTACTATAGATGCAAAAAAGCTGGAGACTGCACCGTTGCTACCTACTCCCACCTTTGCGTCGCTGATTAGAGCTTACCAGGAAAAGTCCTCATTGAGTTCTAATCACCTTCCTATCTCTGCCAATCCAGCGTCTGTGTCTGGTGTCTATTCCTCGGCTTCAGATCCAGTACTGGCATCACCAGTGCCTCAGAACCCTGCTGCTGTGGGCACAATTATGCGTGAAGTAGGGAGCCAGCGCAAAGCTGCTGAGTCTAACAATATTAAGGGAAACAAAAATGTCTCCTATGATGTGGACTTGGAATCATCCAAGAGTGAAAAGACAACCTCAAACACTTCAGATGCTATCCACAAAAAGAAGGATGAAAGCCAATCAGAAGAAGTGGAAAAGAATCAGCTGTCTGAGCCTTTACAATCTTCTTCCTTGTCAGCCCATGACAGTTCTTTGCCTATCCATTCTTCTGACAATGATAACCAAGCACTGCAGGAGTCTGTTACAATTTCTGAAGGTATAGTCCACTTTTTCCATGAAAATGAATAATAAAATAAATAAAAAAGAATAAATTACGTTTCCTTTTCCTTCTGATCCAATTATTTTTCTGTTGAATTCTCTTTTGGGCCTCTGGTTTCATTTTGAGTCGTTTTCCTGTCTCTGTGGGTAGGGATGGCACTGAGGCAGTTTGAGTTGGGTAATAATTTCCATGTTCTCCATGATTCCTGCAGGGGACTTTTCATAATTTTTATATATGCTGTCTCTTGTTATTTGTGATAAATTAGTGCAAACGTAGCTAATCACAAAAAGCTAAGAAATGGAAAAAAAATCTTCAGTGGATTTTTTTTAACTCTAAATCGCCATATGGGTTTACTTTTCCTCCTTTTAGAGTGGCAAAGTGGTCTACATGTCATCTATGTGGAATTGCATATTTTGGTTATAAGTTTTTCATTTTCTTATGGTTTTTTACTATCCAGAGCATAATATTTGAGTTCTACCATCTTGGATTAGAAATACTTTTTTTTTTTCACTTTCCACTTTCAGTCTCTGTTTGTGATCTGTGATCCACAGTATGTTGTTTCTGTTTGGTTTTTGCTTCTAAATTTGGCATCTTTGTGTTGCTCATTCTTCTTCAACAGAAATTTCAGCGGTTACAACTGTCACAGTGAAAGCCAATTCTCAGGTGCATCCTGATTCATCTGTTTCTGATGGTCAACATGTTACTTTTCCTAGTCACTTCAAAGTCTCGGAAGCAGTGAAAAATGGGTTGACTTTTGGAAGCTTTGATACTTGTCTTGGATCCGAGACAAAGGATGTCAATGGCACTGGTGGTGAGATTAACTCTATATCTGCCACTGAATCATCTTCTGCAAGTGATGAAACTGCTGGGGAACCTTCTCCTAGGTTGGTCAACCTTGCACTATGTATTTGGGCTGATGTTATGCTGAGTTTATTTTCTTGTTCTTGGCTAGTGCTAAATGACTATAAATTTGGATATTATCTAAATTCTCTAAAAATTGGTTTCAAAAATAGGTGTTGTATTAATGCCTTTTTGTCTAAAATTGGTTTTAAAAAACGGTTTTATTCTGTTTTATTCAAGCAACTATATCCTCCACTTATGAGAATGGTTGTCTGTGCTAACCAAATGCATTGTTCAATACATATTTGATTGTTTGGGACCTTTTGCAGAAGTCGAAGCATATCCCCAACTGCTCAAGGGGAAAATCTTGATCAACCACAGGCTACGGCATTTTTGGATAATGTGCCTCCAACAATTGGCAATATCCCGACTGGCACAGTCCTGAAGGATGAGTTGAAGCAGGAGATGCCCTTGCTTCCAGAAGGCCAAGAGAAACCACCTGTTCAAAGTGTTCCAAACTATGGTCTTGGTTTCATGTTCCCCTCAGTTGTGAGCCAGCCTATACAAGTGGAAGAATCTGAGACTCAGGCATGTGATGTTTCTCTAATTTCAAACTTTGCTGTAAGGCCCTGTCCTGTTTCTCCGTGTATTGTTCATCCACTTTGTTTCTTACATCAATTTATTTGTTTCTATCGATCTTTACATTTATTCATTTCAAATTTTATTTTGTTATGGTTGATGCAAGTCCTATGATGCAATGGGGAAAGTGGAAATCACCTTGTTGGGTGTAGTTTTTAAAACAAAAACAAGAACATTTTGTTTCGATAATGCAATTTGTAAGCTGCAGCCAATGCTAGAATAAGCAGAACTGTGGCATGGTTTAATTCAGATCGTATGGGTGCTGCATGACATTATTTGATAGGAGACTTCATGAGAATAAATGGTAACTGTTTTGGTTGTTTTCAAGAAGGCCCCGCATTGGTGGTGAAGAATGAATGGTATTGATGGTATTTTTATGATAACTGAGTTCATCTAATTTGTATATTAACCCAAGGAATGCCATTATTAATACTTGTATTATGTGATATTTCTTTTAACAAATTATTTTCTGAGCAAAGTTTATATCTATATATTGCATGTAACAATAACTCAAGGATGGCTTCATTGATTTTCCTTTTCCTTTTACATCATCATGTTCTGAGTATAAAAAATATGTTGGTAGCTGTGAATTTTCCTTTTTTTTTTTTTTAAGAACATGGAAGGTAATACTGTAAATCATTTGCTTTGCCTATGGGTGCTTCCCATTATACTACTTTTCTAAGCTATTATGTGCTCCTGATACTCATTTTATTTAACGTGTAGAATGGGGTTTCTGTGCCTCCTAGCTCAAGTCCAGCTCCGACTATGCAAAGCTCTGTTGCTGCTCCACAGCCTGTTCATCTTTTCAGGCAGCCTTATCCAAGCTTCCTCCCTTATGGCCACTACCTGTCACCTTATTATATGCCACCAATACATCAGTTCTTGAACCCCAATGGGCTTCCGCAGCAGCCTTCTACTGGTAATGTATATTTACCGTCAGCAGCAGGAGCTGCTGCTGCCGCTGCTCCTGGAGTCAAGTTTCCTCTTTCACAGCTCAAGCCAGGAAGTAATGCAGGAAATCCGGCTCATATGGGAATTGCAGCTGGTTATGGTTCATATGGCTCTTCTCCTGTTGGTTTCAATCCTATTACTGCTGTGACGCCTGGAAAGTCTACCAATAACGAGGATCTTACAGCATCTCAATTGAAAGATAATCAAATCTACACAACAAGACCACTGGTTTGTTTTTGCTCCACTTTATGCTCTTGCTTCTTCATTGCTTTTCATCTAGATACTAGTAGCGTGCAATTGCTGTATAACAATATAATATTATTTGATTCGTTTATGAGTCTATCAATTTCTCTCTCTCTCTCTCTCCCTCTCTCTCTCTCTCTCTCTCTCTCTCTCTCCCTCTTTGTGTAATTTTAAGATTTACTTAATGGAATGGCTGGAATGTAATACAATAGTTGTCATTGCAGAGTGAAGGTTCAGGTGTTTGGATACCTACAGCAGGACATGATTTATCCAACATGCAGATCAATCCTCTATACAACCTTGCCCTCCAGGGACAGCACATTGCTTTCGCCCCAGCACAAACCGGTCACAATGCCTTTCCTGGAATTTATCAACCAGCACAGACATTAGCAGCCCCTTCAAATGTTAATCCACTATTGCAACAATCTCAAGCCATGGCTGCAGCTGTTGAAACGATGACACTCCCATCTGGTGCTTATCAGCAGCCGCAGGTTGCACAGGTCAATTGGAATCCTAGTTACTGATCTAGAAAAACTTCTCATGAAAAAACTCGGTTGCTCTGAAGCTCTGGGCCGATATTAGTGTAAATATAGTACATGTTGCTGACCTTTAAAAGTTATGAATGTGACAGGTGCAGGTTATCGTTGTTCATCTTGTTTTGGATTCATTTCCCTGCGATTTCTCATAGGTAGCGAACCATTTTGCTTTCTTCACCTCTTGGGTTAGACTTATTAATTCCTTGTGATCTTATAGAAAGTTAAGAGGTCAAAGAGAGGAGGTGGGATTTACCAATTTTTTCCTTTCTGTTGTCTCACCTGTAAATTAAATTTTGATAGTGAGGGATTTGGGAAGTATACCGCTGTAATTGATATATGGGAATTGGCATTTATATTTTATACTGAAATTGATGAATGCAGATCCCTCTTTTTGGTCATCATCCTCAGTGAAACTAGTTATTAAATTCTTGGGTAACTCAAACCAATGCTTTCATATTCAGAAAATCTTTATTTCTGTCTCCAAGGTTAAGTTGAACCATTTGAGTAATGTTATATCTACAATCTTTTTTCACAAACTTTCTTTCACAATCTGACAAACTTTCTTTCACAACCAGATGTGTTAGTTTGCAATTAGTCAGTTTGTAATGGGTTTTATTTGGTTCCTACTTGATAAATTGTTGTTGACTAATTGTAAACTGTCATGTCATCGTTGTGAGAAAAGACAGTGGATGTCATCGTTGTGAGAAAAGACAGTGGGTGTAGCATTTTTCGAATCATTTGACATCATGTATAGTGTTTCCAAGTAACGAGTGAATCTGGATCCTCTCTTTATGTATGGTCAAAGATCACCATTTTTCGTGAGTTTACGAGTTCAAGAATTGTTGGTATATTCTTACATGGGAATTTTTTTTTTTTTTTTTTTTTTTTTAATATAAATCCATGCCAATGTAGTTCAAGCAAGAGGGGTGATGAGAACATTGTTACACAAGAAAAGAAGCAAATAATTTTGGTTAACCAATTATATATTTGTCTCTGTACAAATCTTGCATCTTCCATTGAACTAAATTTCCTATCAAAATTCCTATGAATATTATAAAATGCCTCGGGTTGGAAACTTGGAATCTCTCTCTCTCTCTCAAGTTTAAGAGCTTTCTCAACTCTAAAATCAAGCAACAGTTGTAGCAATGGCTGCGTTTGACTCGACTCCATCTTCTGTATTGGTTTTTGGTTTCGGTATGGCTACATTTTGCTTTGGAAGCTGCTTGTTTGAACTTCCCTGAGAATCTTTCAAGCTAAGTGATGTGTAAACCGCCATTCCACACACAGCTGTAACAGCTCCACAAATGCTCACAAAGCCGGAATCTGAGTTGAGCAGAAGATAGCCTCCAAGCATAATCACACAGGTTTTGAACTGCCCTAAAACAACATGAGCTATTGCAGAAGTGGCCCTGCACAGAAATAATCATAAAAGGAATTTTACTAATGACTTGGTAATGATACTGGACCAATACTACAAGTAACAATGTTTTAGTAACCGGTGAGTTACTGGACTGGTAACATAGCAGATACTGGTAAATTGAAGTTAGAGGAATAGAGTCTCACCCAAGTGCCAAAGCACCAGACCATTGTAGGAAAAAACCAAGGAGAGCTGATATTAAAATTGCAGAAGAGTTATTAAGATCCCACTTAAACGACAACGCTCCTGGAGGATCCAACCATGGCATTAGAGCCACTAAGAAGAAAACTGTGATGGGAGTTGTCTTCCACATCAACCTGCAATCAAAATTTGTTGTTTATGCATATATGGAGTGATTTTGAGTACTGTTCTATGCTAGCAGAAACACAAAAGATTGGGATTTTACTTACGCTAGGGCAGTCCAGTTGGAATCCTTTTGGAGCTTAGACCACATAATTTTATTCACAGCACTTGGGATAATCCATGCTATTGAAATAAACGCACCAAAAAGATTGAACTCTAAATCTGTTACGGTTGCCACTGCCACCCCTGCTGATACAACAAACAGAGCCAAAATCTGTGGAATTTGCAAGGACATTGTCAGAAAGAGCTGCAAAGTGATTTAATTCTATAAGCTAAAATTTGAAGCAGCTGACCATCTGATAAGAAATGGTTTTGCGAAATAGGATGAACTCAGACACAACAATAGTGGGAGTGACTGCAATTTTAGTCATCTGGTAGAACCCAACACTGCATAAATCATATTACTAGTGAGAAAACTCGAACATAGTGACAACCACCAAGTTGCTATTTCAGTCACAGATTAAAATCCTGAACTGAAACAAACCTGTTATGCTTTAGGCTTGTATTCGCAAGGCCAGTGGCGAAAGACATGACAACACCAAGAGTAAATAGAGATGAGAAAGGAGTAGTTTTGGAGGCAGGGGAGACTGGAAGCAGTGACAAGGCCTTGAAAATGGCAAGTAGTATCCATGCGACGGTGTAGTGAATTAAGGTAAGAAAGATTGGGAAATTAAACCCAACTTTCCCCATCACCTATAAGAAGAAACATAACTGATATGAGATTGAGTGAATTTATCTGTAAAGGTCTAAAGTTTGAACCTGCTGAATTGAATGAAAAGAACTCACATATTTGTTTGTCAAAATAATTCCAACAGAAACCAGGAAATTGAAGGTCATTGCCACAGCTGGTCCACAAAATCTTTGCTGTTGGCGCTTGGCTCCTTCTGCAGATCGAAGGTCATTGTATATAGCACCTCTGAGTTCTTCCAATGCTCGACCTGATAACTCGAAAAATGAGAATTAATGAATACATCCAACAGCAGAACACATGACAAATTGTTATCAGTCAGCAGGGAAATTTTGCTTCTCCATTTACATGTACAGCTTCAGAGTAAAATGCCACTAAAGAAAACATAAAAAGTTTCAATCTGCTAAATGGTTTTGAGTCTTTCCAAGTCTAGTGAACTGAACACAGTATTTTAACAATATTCTGAAATTTTATTGATCTAGATAAAGAGCAATTCATGAAAATAGCATTTAAACTGTTTTCCTGCGCTTCATGATAGCAATGTGAAAATAGTTTTGGTTAAATCAAACAAATAACAGAATCCCACCATGGATTACTCATCATAAGCCTTGAAAAACCAACAGAATTTCATAAAAGTTAAAAACCTTATTGAATATTATGATTTAAAGGTGATTCCACACCCACCAAACCAAATACTAAACAATCAGCAAGTGAAAGCATAATCTGAAATGAGAAAAGAAGATGAAAATAACCCAGTAAACTCAGAACATTCACATTCAAAGAACAAGCATTTTAGTAAATAACAATGTAGCTTCTGAGTTTCATTCAAAAGAACCTGCTTCTCCTGCATCACTGTCCTTGCGTTTGATAAAACTTCTGCCATGTTTCCCCAACAAAGCATCAATCCACCCCATTACCAACCAAAAGAAAAGATTACACTTGTTTCACATATTACTGAAAACACATTCTTTCATTAACAAAACCAATCTTTTACTCAATAAAATACCATAGAAAAAAAGAAAAAGAAAGAAAAAAACTAAGACGATAAGTACATTAACTATGGATTATATCAAAGATTGCGGGATAGATTATGGAGATAAATATGGAGAAAAGCGTCTAGTTAATTGATTGATTAATATCTTTAATAAATAAAATAATAACGGGGTTTTGGTTGTATGTGTTTAACACTACAGATGGAATCCAAAGAAGAGCCAATAAACGATGAGTTGAGTGCCAAATGTCTTGTTTAATGGATTTGGAAGTACTTTCAAAAAGTTTTTTATTTTTTATTTTATTTTATTGCATGGTTTCCTGAGCGGAGAAGTTAAGGAAACATCATGTAGAGTTTATCTGCAACAGTCAACACCTCATGTGATACTGTTACCCTTAACTACTTTTGTGAATTGTAGATGGGAGGTACTATCTCCTGTGCTTGCGAACATGATTAGGTGGTGTACCAATAAAAAGAAAGCACATTCATCTTATATGTTATTAAAAATATATACTTTTTTTTTTTTTTTTTTTGTGGTCAGGTTGTTTGGCCAGCTTAGTCGATTGGGTAATCCTCTAATGACGGTAATAAAGGTCGAGAGAAATTGAATTTAGGATCTCTTGAGTAATACACCTAAGAGTTTCTATTTGACCACTTAGGCATCCAAGAGTTGATTTCAATTGTTCTGTATTGTGAAGTTTAATTTCAATTTATTATATGAGTTCTATTCAATTATTCAATGAGTCCTCGATATAAGTCCCATTAGGTATCTACTTAGGTAGACCTAATTTGATTTGATTGCTTAATAAACTAGTAAATTAGCTTTCTTTTTTTTTTTTTTTTTTTTTTTGTAACCAAGATGTCCGAGTCAGTTTACGCGTATCTCGACTAATCCTCAAAGAAGATTAGTGTAGTAACCCATCTAAGCATCCACGGATGAGTCTGATTTGATTTACCAATTCTACTTTGTTAACTAATCTGATACTCAACACCAAATCCAGTTTCGTATTAGGGATTGATAATACCTAACCAAATGCCATAAAATAAGACAAAGCAAAAAGCAAAAATGCATTGAAACCTGCAGCAATGAAGGTGTTTTTAGCCTTTAGCCTTTAATGTATTTCTTAATTCTTGTGGGTTGGGGGCCCTTTAGAGATGGTGGCTTCTGAAGCAAGATATTATTTGCTTAACTAATTGGGTAAAAGGTCACTTTACACAGAGAGGTCTAAAGAGTCCTCAAAAGCATCACCAGAACAACTTATACGTTGCTCCTAAATGTCTGTTTCTGTTTCTGTTTCAATCACTTTCTCAACATTGAATGTGACTACCACCAACCAAGCCCTTTTCTGTACAAGATCAAAATAAGACATTAGGATATGGATTTCTAATGAAAATTAGTTTTATTTCTCTTGGTTTTGCTTGGTTTTGTGGAATTAGGTGTTTAAATAGGTGGGAAACGGTTACCTTTTTGTTAACAACAGGGGCATTTTAGTATTTTCTTGTTCTTGCACCAAATTTGAGAAAATCTTGAGTTATTTACACTTTGGTTCTTAAGGTTTGGAGTATACTGCACTTACCTTCAGTACTATGGTATACGAACAATTTAGTCTAATCAAGTAAGTTTTTTCAACAAAAAGTCTATAATACCCCTATGTCTTATTCATATATAATTAGGAATGAATGAAATATAAAAAAGAAAGCAAAAATTCATATAACCAACGAGACCTCTGCCATGAGAAAGTCTCGCCGCCTTCATTGTGTACTGAAAGCTTCTTCCCTCAATTGATATGGTAGACTTGATTCAGACCTCCAGATGATCAGAGCATAGATATGGGAAATATCTTAGCTAATTCATTTATTCCCTAATAAATGGGGAGAAATTTCCAATCTGAAATTCAGACTAAAAGTTGTTTGGATTGAAGTTTTGGTTTCTGTGCATGCAAATTACTAATCTCCCCATGAATCCGAGACAATTTCCGTGATGCTTCAAATCAGTACATTTACTGCTTGAGAAAAATAACACCAGGTACAAGTCTCTCACATCTGGTAAGCCATCTCAAACGAGAAGATGTTCAAAAATGAGATATGTGGATGGGAGAAATTTGTGAGGAATTTGTTAAAAGGGAACAGAGGAAAACAGGGGACTCTGTTTTTTATTGGCCAAGCTTTCCACAAAGGTTTAATCCAACAGAAACAAAATGGAATAGGCAAAACTCATAACATAAAACAATTAAATCAAGTGCATGCTGATGCAGGTTCATAGAATAAAACTCACCAAATAAATGGAAACGTGGTAAATAAATCAGGAGAGCTACTTACCATTGGCAGATGTGTCAATACATTCTTGAACTTCAATTGGAAGTAGCCACCAATAAACTTCCATTGAAAGAGAAAAGTCCCAACACAGAAAATTAAACAACATGGTAGATATAAATTAACAAACAAAACAACCATTACATTAACATGAGCAAATCAAATGTATTTTATATATTACACAAGGAAATTGATGAACAATTGCAACTAATACTTCATCTCTACTAGTGTTACCCTAATAATACAACAATCACACATTGCTGGATACTGCCACCAATACTACACCATTCACAAGAAACAAGTACATAAAATCTTGGAATTACCTGGTTTATTCATGTGGAGGACGATTTAATCATGATCTTCTCACAATCCAAGATACATCTTCTGTTCATCATAATAGAAAAAACACAAGCCTTAGTTATTTATAGGATAACAAAAAACTCATACTTCACTTGATATTATGTTCTAAAGCGCTAAAAACGTGTAAGAAATTCATCAACTAGTCGCGGGTATCGAGTGGCAGCAGGCAGTTTCTATAACCGGAGATTTTTTTGGCATGTTATGGTAACAAAATTGATATTAAAATGATCGTCTCTAAACGATTTATCTATCTATATAATTTTAAACTGGAAAAATGATTGTGTTTGGCCAAGATCTGACAGAGAAAGTGCAGCCACACGAACTGTCTCCGTCATTTCCTGGCCAAACGTTGCATAAATTGCTAAAATTAATTGTAGATATAGATAGATCGTTAAAATTGAATTATTTTGATACCAATATTGTTACTTAATATCGCCAAAACAAATTTCGGCGATGGGATCCTTGGCTGCCGGGACTGGATTCCGACAACTAAAGCTTAATCAATTAATTAAGGTAATTTAAAAAAGAATGTTTTAAATAAAATAAATTATAAGCTTTTTCCTTTTGCAATTTGACAGAAGATAAAGAATCAAGATAACGCTAAGTCTTATATAAATTAAATGGAATACCTGCTGTCACGGATGAGAGGAATTGTTACTTCACACCCGTTTTTCAATAAATTACTCAAAATTCACAGGCGAGAGAGACAAGAGATACTTAGTAGTGACATAAAATACTTCTCCTTCCTCTTCGTAAGTGACACAGACCTCCGGTATATGTCGGGTAACTTTCTTCCACTTCTCATCTTTTATCATATAACAAATTTCTTTCAACATACGACGAAACTTAAGAATCCTTAGGTTTCTCAGATGTTCAATTCCAATTGGAATCTCTTTCAATCGAGGGCATGGTCCAATAAGTAACTCTTCAAGGTTAGGCATTGCACCTTTGTCTATTATCATCAATTCCACTCCTTTAAAGTCAAAGAGGTTCAACATTTTTAGTTTTGGAAACCAACCTTCTTTGAAATGTAATTGCTCACCATGGCATGTCTCCCATAGCCTAATCTCCAATAAATTAGGCAGGTCTTGAAGGACTTTTATGGGATCATCAGTTAATCCTGACAAATCCAAACCAATTCTGACAATATATTCAAGTTTAAAAATCCAATCTGGTAGCTTCTTCATATTTCCTGTTAAGTAGAGGCGCTCAAGACCACGAGGAGGAGAAGTCATTGATTCTATATCAAGAATTTCTTCTCTACTTGTCAACTCGATAGTCAGAGATACAAGTTTATCCAAATTCCCTATGTAAGCACATAAATCCTTGCCGTTTCCATTTGTGATCCTAATTCCTAACTTTCTCAGATGCCTTAGCTTCGTAAGCTCTTTGAGTTCCTTAAAGTTAACTTCCACCAAAATTAGCTTCTGCAGCTCCATTAAAGAACTAAACCCCTCAGGTATTTTCACTGCTCTTCCATAATTACTATACTTGCCCAAATTGTATGCCGCTAGATAGCACAATTTTTTAAGATTCTTGATCTCAACAGGAAGCTCAGTGACAAGAGAACGCTTCAAATTCAAAGTCTCCAGGTTGAGAAGCTTACCAATGGACTTGGGGAGTACATTTACTTTTGTATTTTTCACACTTAAGTAGTGCAAGTGGAAGAGGTTTCCCACTCCTTCTGGAAGATACTCTATAGGACTATCTTCAAAATCAAGTACTTTTACAAGTTTGAAATCCATAAAAAGCGTAGTCAAGAAAGAGTTAGGCATCCTATCAACATTGAAAAGAGAAACAGAACGTATCTTTGAGTCCTTGATGCTCTCGAGAACATCATTAGTACTTCCTTGTATTGAAATGCGCCGAATTTTGCTAGAGAGATTTGAGTGTTCTCTGTTCACAAAATGAGAGAAGCCCAAAGATTCGGTCTTAAGGATAATCTCATGCATCAGATCATGGACTCCACAATATCTAGGTCTTCCAATGAAATCCATCTCTACCACTTGAACCAAGCTTCTGTTAATGAGATCAATCAAGAATTCTTCTGCAACTTGTTCAGATGTGCGGAGTTTGGAATAAGGGACAAAGCCTTCAGCAATCCATAGGCGAATCAGTCTTGCACAATTGATTGAGTAGCTTGCTGGAAAAAAACCAAAATACAAGAGACAAGATTTGAGATGGTGAGGTAAAGCATAATAACTTTCTAATAAAACTTTGTTGTAATCGCTTCCCAAATGTGATCCCAAGTCATCAAGTAACTTTTTCCATTCAAAAGCAACCTTATTCTTGTTTGAGAGAAGACTACCAACGGCAACAATTGCTAGTGGTAAACCTCCACATTTCCGAAGGATGTCATAAGATAGTTTCTCCAACTCGAGGGGACAACACACCTGAGGACCAAAAGCCTTTCTACAAAAAAGTTCAAACGCCAAATCTGAAGGCAAAGGTTCTAGCGGATGGACTTTAACAAAAGGAATCAGAGCAACAGTGCCCGTGTTTCTGGTTGTGAGCATAATCCTACTGCTTTTGTTGTTCTCAATTAAAGCATACTCTATATATCCCCAAAAATCAGTTTGCCACACGTCATCGAACACAACCATGTAACACTTGTCTTTTAATTGTCTCTCCAGCATGGCGAGCAGATCCTTCTCTCCCATTTTGTCCATTTCTCCATGAGTAGACCCTATCACACCCTCAAATTCTTGTATAGTTTTTCTTAGTATATCCATTTTGGTGCATTCTTTCCCAACCGTGATCCAAGCCTGGCAATCGAAATGCTTCTTCACTACATCATTCTTATAAATATTCCCGGCAAGAGTGGTCTTGCCAAGTCCTCCTTCGCCCACAACTGCAATCACTGAACGCTTGGATGTTCCACTCACCAACAGACCAATCAATTGGTCTCTAGTAGATTCGATGCCCACAAGTTCAGCGCCTGGGATGAAAAAGGAACCAACTCGAGAATCGTGCGATACAACGTCTCCTTGATCAATGGGCTTGAATTTATAGTGTTCTGCACTTCTTCGTATATCAGCAAGTGATGATTTGATATGTTTAATCTCGGATGAAATTCCATGACGCACCTTAAGTTCATTGATGAAACAACACATTTTACGAAGGAAACCAGTGAGACCTTTGCCATCATGTTCATGATGCTTCGCCTCATTAAGTATGTGCTCATCTATGACGTCTTCAATGTGATAAGCTTCTTCCCTTACTTGTTTTACCCAAGTACTTACGACACCTCCATCGCTTCCTCCTTCTTCTTCAGCCGCTGCCCTTGTATCTGCATCCGTGAGAAAAGATCTGATGAACTCCAATTCTCTTTTGATGCTTTCAACTTCTTTCTTTACACTTCTCAACAGCTTGGTTTCCTGGACAAGCAAGGAACCCAATGTTTCAATAGCAAAGTTCACAGTAAACTCTGCCATATCTCGTAAGCTTTTTGTTGTTCACTCCATCTTAATTGTTAAGATGTATGATCAAGTATACAATGTTTGGTTGTTGTGTTAAGAAACCAGTGGGTTGGACACGATGGTAGAGACTCCGTATAACTTAGTTGTAAACAGCTGGTGTGAAATTATGAATTAAAATATGATCGTTTGAATTGTCGAGAACCGAGAAATTTCATAAAGAGAGGTTGTAGGCTTGTAGCTTCCTGTTGCCATTTTGTGAATTAATTATTGGTAGACCGTTCACCCTGCATATATCAAATCAACAAAAGCTGCTTTATTCCATAACATTTTGAAATTAATTATTTATAAACAAAAGGTGCGGTTCACAAATGTGCCTAATTGTAATAGTTGATAACTAATAAGGACTTAAGTGTTACTTTCTCATTATATCGGACAAACTTTAGAGGTAAAAATGACTGAATTGAATTTTACCCTTTATTTTCCACACGCTAATCTCTTTTGTTAATAAAGAGAATCTGGTTGTCCCTGAAAAAGAGGGCTAAATTTTCCACAGGCTAATTTGTTTTGTCAATAAAGAGAATCTGTTGTCCTCTCTGAGGAAAGAGGGGGCTAAATTTTCTCTTCCCAAGAAAAAATGACGCTCTGGAATAGTTGTCCCTATCCTTGAATTTCGTAATTGCATAAGTATCACCTAGACACCCAAAAGTTTACTAGAATACCAAAATCTTCTTACATAGTTTTAAAAATATCACAAATTCCTTTAAATTTAAAAATATTATCTCACTCAACCCCAATAATTTGAAATTTTTTTGGGATGATTAAAAAATATTTAAATATCAAGCAATATTTTGGTACTATTGCATGCACATTTATGTTCTAATTAATTAATTTTATGTATTATGTTATTCAAAAGGTAAAACCAAAATGATTGTTTCTTGCCTTATCAAAGTTGTATCATATAACTTTTTAAAAAGAAAACATTACGGAGAATTTTCCATAGTTAATAATTAATCAACTTTTAGAAGATGGTGTTCTTAATTAATCTAAGGTTATGTATGGTTTTAAATATATGTTAAGATCATCAACAGTTTATCATCAAAGGGATTCTCCTATTAATAAATCACACAAAGTCCACGATCTAACTATCTGGCATTGCCATCTTAAACAACAAGAAATCGACTGTGACAATAAGTTGAGAAGGAGAAGAAGAAAGAGACTCAGAAAATGTAAAGTTTGAGAGGTTTCTTCCTGTTTCCCTCAACAGTTGCTATGAATAATAAAATAGAAAAAAAGGACATCCAAGAGTCACGTGTTCATTATGAGAGATAAAGAAAAAGTAAAATGAAAAATGGACAGTGCACTCGTAAAGCAAAGAGTCCAGCTGTCTGCAACTTTGGTTTTAAAGTCTTGGCTCCACCATTGCAATAATTCAACTTCAAATCAAATGAAAAGAGCTAAAAGCTTTGGTTGCTTTTCTAATTTCTTGTTTTTTCTTCCAAGTGGTCCATACTGTGTTTGTTTTAAATAAAGGGTGAGCAGGCGTGGCAGGCAAAATCAGAACCCTGAGGTAGAACTGAAATCAGAACTGAAATTTACCTAGAATCAATACTGGGTAAATTTTGGTTCTATTTTTTTGGAATTGATACAGTACAGTTATAGTTTCTATATATAGAGAAACTAGAATTAGAACCGAAACCTTAAAAAAAAAATCTGTAGTGGGTATTCAACTTAAAACCTGCAACGAATACTTGATTTACCATCTGTTTTATAACATGGGCTGAAATAAAATTATCTTTAAAGAATGGGGGGTCTAATTTTACATATAAAAAAAAATTTTAAATGGAAAAACTTTAAATTTTTACAATAACCTAATTAATTAAATAAATAAACAATTATTCTTATTACATATAAACTACACCATATAAGAAACTTTAATATATTATAATATATTAATATTAAAGTTTTGATGAATTAAATATATAATTAGAATTAGGACAAATTAAAAGTGTTTTAATGTTAATAATATAATATTTAGTTATTTACTTCAATTATCAAGTTCTAAATATATCTATAGTAAATTAGCAATTAATTAATTATATATGATATATTAATAAATATTAATACATTGTTAATTAAATGATTACTTAATTAATATAAGTTTATAACATTACATTAATAATTTAGTACATCACTTAATTAAATAATTAGAAAATTAATTAATTATAACATTACATTATAAAAACAACGTATTTTCTTAAGATTCTTGATCTCAACAAGAAGCTCAGTGACAAGAGAACGCTTCAAATTCAAGGTCTCCAAGTGGAGAAGCTTACCAATGGACTTGGGACGTACATTTACTTTTGTATTTTTCACACTTAAGTAGTGCAAATGGAAGAGGTTTCCCACTGTTTCAGGAAGATACTCTATAAGACTATCTTCAAAATCAAGTACTTTTATAAGTTTGAAATCCACAACCAGTGTAGTCATGAAAGAGTTAGGCATCCTATCAACATTGAAAAGAGAAACAGAACGTATCTTTGACTCCTTAATACTCTCAAGAACACTATCAGTACTTCCTTGTATTGAAATGCACCGAATTTTGCTAAAGAGATTTGAGGGTTCTCTATTCAAAACATGAGATAAGCTCAAATATTCGGTATTTCTAATGATAATCTCATGCATCAGATCATGAACTCAACAATATTTAGGTCTTCCAATGAAATCCGTCTTTACCACTTGAACCAAGCTTCTGTTAATGAGATCAATCAAGAACTGTTCAGCAACTTGTTCAGATGTGCGGTGTTTGGAATAAGGGACAAAGCCCTTAGCAATCCATAGGCAAATTAGTCTTGCACAATTGGTTGAGTAGCTTTCTAGAAAAAAAAAAAAAAAAAAAAACCAAAATACAAGAGACAAGATTTGAGATGGTGAGGTAGACCATAATAACCTTCTAATAAAACTTTGTTTCAATCTTTTAGATAAGAATCACTTCCCAACTGTGACCCCAAGTCATCAAATAACTTTTTCCATTTAGAAGCAATCTTGTTCTTGTTTGAGAGAAGACTGTTAGCCAGACTGAAGAAAGGGCAGTTTTGTAAAAACTGCAGATCACAAATGAATGAATGGTGTCGTTTTGTAAAGTGAAACTTTACTCTTCATCAACTGAGCTGGGTTTACTCTTTTGGCAAAACTATCCTTGTATATAAACGAGAGTTTTGTTTCAACTCATTTTTTAATCAAATTCAATAGAAGTAATTCACGAGTTCTAAATGTTTCAAGAACTCTTTCAATCTATACTTTTCGGTTTTAGTTCCACAATCTACTCAATCTGCTCAAAATTGTGTATAGAAGTATCAAAAGATCATCTCTGAAACAGTGTAAAAATCTGCTCAAAATTGTGTGCTTAGAAGAATTGTGTTGAGTTACTATTGTGTTGCTACTATAATGTTGTTTGTGATACAATGATATCAATGCTGAGAATGATGAGTGTGTTGTTGCTGTAATACTGTTTGTGGTATGATGATGTGAGTGCTGAAGTGTAAGCATGAAATTGAAATTCTAGTTGTGGTATAATTGTGTGTATGTTGACTGTTTGTGTTATGCATACTAAGTGAAAGCATGGAATTGGAATGTAGTGTTGAGGTGTAATGGTGTGAGTACTGCTGATTGTAATGGTGTTAGTACTGCTGATTGTGGCATAAGAAAAATGTGGTGTTGAAATGTAATGGTGTGAGTACTGCTGAGTGTTGAGGTGTAATGGTGTGAGTACTGCTGATTGTGGCATAAGAAGAATGCTGAGTAGAAGGCATTGATTAGTAGGAATCAGTTTTTTGTTTCAGAAGCATTATTGTGTAGAAGGCATTATTGAGTGTTGAGGTGTAATGGTGTGAGTACTACTGGAAGAATGATGAGTAGAAGGCATTGATTAGTAGGAATCAGTTTTTGTTTCAGAAGCATTATTGTGCAGAAGGCATTGTTTATTAGGAATCAGTTTTTGTTTCAGAAGCATTGTGCAGAAGCATTATTGTGTAGAAGCATTATTATGCAGAAGGCATTGGTTTAGTAGGAATTAGATTATTGTGCAGAAGGCATTGGTTTAGTAGGAATCAGTTTTGTTGCATTGTTTAGTAGGAATCAGTTTTTGTTTCAGAAGCATTATGCAGAAGCATTATTGAGCAGAAGCATTATTGTGTAGAACGCATTCATTGATTTTTGAGAAAATGTAGAAATGAGAAAGTACAGAAGGTGCAGGGTTTGCGGATGAATGGCATGACCGAGTTTATTTTTTTTGTCAAGATAAGTGTAGAAGAATTGTGCAGGAGCATAGTGCAGAAGTCATTTATTTTTGAATAAGTGCAAAAATGAGAAAAACTAGCATTAAGGAGGAATCAGCTTGAAAGTGCAGAAGTATTCTATACAAAATAAAGTCTAGAAGAAAATCCAGCCAAAGTCTTGAAGGATTCAGCAACCGTGGTTCAGTCTGAGGGGGAATGTTAACCAGACTGAAGAAAGGGCAGTTTTGTAAAAACTACAAATCACAAATGAATGAACGGTGTCGTTTTGTAAAGTGAAACTTTACTCTTGGTCAACTGAGCTGGGTTTACTCTTTTGACAAAACTATTCTTGTATATAAACGAGAGCTCTGTTTTAGCTCATTTTTTAATCAAATTCAATAGAAGTAATTCACGAGTTCTAAATGTTTCAACTCTTTCAATCTCTACTTTTCAGTTTCAGTACCACTGACCACCAACGGTTACAATGGCTATTGGTAAACCTCCACACTTCCCAAGGATGTCACGAGACGGTTTCTCCAATTCGGGGGGGCAACAACCTTGAGGACCAAAGGCCTTTCTACAAAAAAGTTCAAACGTCTTATCTGAAGGCGAGGCTTGTAGCCTATGGACATAAACAAAAGGAATTAAATCAGCAATGTCCTTGTTTCTGGTTGTGAGCATAATCCTACTGCTTTTGTTGTTCTCAATTAAAGCATACTTTATATAAACCCAAAAATCTATTTTTTACACGTCATCGAACACAACCATGCAAAACTTGTCTTTTAATTGTCTCTCCAATGTGGTGAGTAGACCCTTCTCTTCCATTTTTTCCATCTCTCTATGAGTAGACCCTATCACACGGTCAAGTTCTTGTACAATTTTCCTCAGTGTATCCAATTTGGTGCATTCTTTCCCAACTGTGATCCAAGCTTGATAATGGAAATGCTTCTTCACT